GGGCTCCGGGAACACTGCCCACGTGAGGTCCAAGGCAAGACTGCTTCTTTCGCCGTTGTGGTCTCTGCATGAAATAAAGAAGAGTGTCGTGGAGTACCTTTGTGTGCCTTAAAGGTGTCGTCCTCCCAGTAATAGAGTCCCTGTGCAGCAGAGATGGCATATTTTGTTAGTGAATTTGGGCTGGACCCTGTGCTGGACACATCGTCTTTGTCAACCACAAGCTGTTACTGAACACTTCCTGGGTGAAATATGCTAGTAAGTCGTAAGGAACTGGTTGACTGAATGGCTATTGATTACATAACATTTTTTATTGAAGTGGGTTTTATTTTAAGCTCCGTACTTTCCTCTTCGTTGGCAACCATGTCTGCAAAACCCACGTTACACACTCTAAACCCAATGATTTTTATTTTAATCTCAAAGTGAATTTGGCTGTCCTCTAGGTTAGTGATTTATATGACACATTGAGCATTTATTTATTTATCCCCTTTTGTTTATCTACTTAAAAAGAAATTTTCTTTTTACTGTGGTAAAATACACGAAATATAAAATTTTTCATCTCAACCTTATTTATTTTTTGACATGGAGAAATATATATCTGTGGTCTTTCCATCTCAACTATTTTTAGTGTACAGTTGAGAGGCATTAAACACATATTACTATGCAACCACCATCCACAGAACTCTTTTCTTGTAAAACTGAAACTCTTTCCCATTAAACAATAACTCCTTATCGTGGGCCACCTGCCACGATCCCTGGCAACCACAATTCTACTTTTGGTTTCTATGATTTTGACTCTTCTAAGTACCTCATCATATATGGGAATAATACAGTGTTGTTGTTTTGTGACTGACTGACTTCATATATAACATCCTCAAGGTTAATCCATGTTGTAGTATATGTCAGAATTTCCTTCCTTTTTATGGCTGAATAATATTCCTTTATATCTATTCACAACATGAAGAGTCACACTCCCTCACATTTTGTTCATCCATTCATCTTTTAACGGACACTCGAGTTGCTTCCATGTTTTAGCTATTGTGAATAATACTGCTGTGAGAACCGAGGTACATGCCCTTGATGGAAATCGAACCTGGGACCCTTCGGTCCGCAGGCCAACGCTCTATCCACTGAGCCAAATCAGTCAGGACTTTCCTTCCTTTTTAAGGCTGAATAATATTCCTTTATATCTATTCACAACATGAAGAGTTCCCTCACATTTTGCTCATCCTTTCATCTTTTAACGGACACTCGGGTTGCTTCCATGTTTTAGCTATTGTGAATAATACTGCTGTGAGCAAGAGTGTATGTTCATTTACTTTTTAGTTCAAAAAAGTCCATAACAATGTTTCATTTAGAGAGGAACACCAGAGGAGGAGTGGGGAAAGCTAGAGGACTCATGAATGACCTCAGCCACTAGCAAGCATCTTACAAGCCATCTATGTTTGGCCAGTTCTAAACACCATTGCATTATGTGGAAGAATAAAGTAGAACCTCCATTTCACTAGTTTAAAAATTGCTGAAAGGTTTGATTCTACCTACAGGGCTGATTCTAAAGATGACTGCCCAAGTCTCAATATGTTAGAGTCAAACAGATGTTTACTACAAGGGTTATTAGAGATCAGGTTTGTGACTGCCATTTTTAGTTGCACATCAGAATCACCCGGGGCTCTTTAAAAAAATATTGATACATAGATCCCATTCCTAGAGCGCCGATTTAACTGGCCTGGGGTGGGCACCAGTATTTTTTTTTTAAGTTTTTCAGATAGTTCTAATGTGCAGCCAGGGTTGAGAATCACTGAGACAGCTTAACCCTCCCATCTCCATTTCCATCTAGAGAGAGAAAAGGGAAATGATTTGTTGAAAGTGACACAGGTGATGGTAAAAAAAAAAAAAATGCAAACAGAGATTGAAATTTCAAGTGTAGTGCTCCAAATTTCCTGAAGCTTTTTACAGTATTTTTGCCTCCTAATTCTATTCTTTAGAAAGTGAAAAACTAAAGTACTATCAAATAGATCATTTTTATTCAATCTCGACTGATTTAAATCAAGATTAAAGGCATGCTGAAAGTTTATTTTAGTTTTCATTTCAACACCTGAACCGTGATGAAACCAAATTTGAAAGAATTCTACCTACAGCCAGAAATCTGCCAGAGGAAGACAAAGTCTGCGTGAAGCCTGAGATGTTATACAGCTCTAAAATGAAACAATCAGAGGCATAAAGTTTAAAGACAAGAAGAAAACGGAAATAAAGTAACAGGGCTGATTCTAAAGATGACTCCCCTCTATTGTAAAAGTCAAGTAAAGGAATCAGAAGAGGAAACGCAAACGGCCAATAAACATGTGAAAAGAACCTCCCGTGGAGGCAGCAGGGTGGCTCCTGGGACCTGACACCTGGCACAGGCATTCGCCAATCCGAACTTTGAGAATCTTTCACGAATATGAATCAATAATGAAGACTATCAAGACTGAGGCCACCCGCCTCCCCCACTGACTCAGAACAGAGAATGAGGGTACTTGGTGTGAGGAACATTTGCGTTGAGGAGATTAAGCAAGAAAACCAGAACTTCAAGGGATTTGTACGAAGATATGCCCAGGCAGCCCAGCTGCAGGGAAGAATCCATCCTAGGAAACAGTCACAACATGAAGTACTTGCTTTCTGTATTAATGTGGACTCTCTGTGAGCAAGTGACAAAAATGGACTCAAATTCACTTGAGCTGGAAATAGTTTAAAGTCTCCTGTAAGGGAACCAGAGATGTACGTGGGGAGTTTGCGGGGAGAGGCGATGAGTATAGATAATAGCAGCCCAGAGTCACATTCCCTCCACTCCGAGACCAACAAGGGGAAAACCTCCCAGGAGTTCCACCTAGAAAAACCCGGCAGAAGGACTCAAATAGTCCTCTTTTGAATCATGCGACCATCTCTGATAACTGGAAGGGGCTTTGCTATAGAAAAAGTTGACCTTTACTGGTATAATATGTGAAGGAAAGATCTAAACTTAACCACCTATCACTATATCTTTTTGACCCAATTTTGAAATGGAAAGATCATAAAGCACCTTCACTGGCCGGAATTTAATGGAACAACATCCTAATGAAAACACACTTACTGGTGCAGTAAGTCCTATCACATCACTGACAGATTCTTGGAACTGCAGCAGAACTACCCACAATGAGACCAATTTCACCACAGGCCCGTTGGTAAAAGAGGACCTGCTGTACTCGAGCACTTCACTGGGTTCTGCTAACAATTATGGCCGTTCGAAGACCTCAACTGCACATGTTCTTGCTGTATGTACACTTTAATATAATAAAACCGTTTGAGTTTCTGTTCATTAACCCCGCAGCTTCCCTTGACCATGACTCCCTGTGCCTGACCTCTGGTCACTGAGACGATGGGAGACAGTCAGCAGCAGTTTCCTGTGAAGACTCTTGGGGCACCCCCTCCCCAGCAAAGGCTCTTAATATACAGAGAGAAACAGGTGGAGAAGGTGCCATGGAGAGGAGGCTGAGGAATCAGAGCCCTGAAGTGTGAATGCCTGTGGTGAAGTGCGATTTCACCTGGAGAAGAGGCGGGGCCCACGAAATGAAAACAGTGGGAGGAAAAAGAAAACAAGCATGCTCTGACGGGATGAATTGATTTTTTTTCTTTAAACTTTTTCTAGGAAAGGTGGACAACAAGGAACTGAGGCTGAGGGTGCCCCATAGGAAATGGGAACTTCTGCAAGGTCAAGGGGAGGGGCCCTGTGATATTGGGATTTATAATAAGAAATATCTCCAGTCCCTGACCCAGGGCTCCTAAAACCTTTGTAAATTCCCAAGAAATAAGAGGACGAGGAGCAGGTGTTTTAATGATCGACTCTGGGTAGGCTCCTGGATGGGGGCTGGGTACCAGAAAGACCCAGTCATGATGAGAAACTTGGAATTTTCAGCCCCACCCTCCATCCTCCTGGGAGGGGAGAGGAGCTGGAAATGGAGCTAATAATTGAATAACTGATCACGCTTCTGTGAGAAAGCCTCTATAAAATTCTAAAAGCACGGGGTGGGGGTGGGGTTGAAGAGCTTCCAGGTGGGCAAACACCTGGAGACCTGGGAAGAGTGGCACTCCTGGAGAGAGCACGGGAGCTCCGCGCCCTTCCCTCATGCCTTGCCCTATGCATCTCTACCATCTGGCTGCTCCTGGTTATATCCTTTTATAATAAACCAATAATCTAACAACTAACGTGTTTCTCTGATCTCTGTGAGCTTCATTAGCAAATTAAACCCAAGGAGGGGGTAGTTGCAACCTCCAATCCATAGTCAGTGAGTCAGAAACCCAGGTGACAACCGGACTTGTGATTGGCAACTGAAAGGGAGGCGAGGGGCAGTCTTATAGGACTGCGCCCCTAACCTGTGGGATCTGGTGCTATCTCAGGAATTGAGTTGAACTGTAGGAAACGCAGCAGGTATTGAAGAACTGGTTGGTGGTGTGGAGAACCCTGCCCCCATGTTGCACTTGGTACTAGAATCATCCTAGAACCCCTCCAAGAATGGGAAAGAGACTCGCACAGAGGGAAGGGTGCAGGGAGTGGCCCCTGGGACTCCCTGAAAGGGGCCTCCATGCCTCTCCTCAGCAGTGTGGGATGACAGTCCACGTGGGCACACAGAATGTCAGAGCCGGAGGTTTCCTGATGTTTTGTGAATTCGCCTGACCTTGAACCCCAGTTGAGTGGGCTGGCCAGAGTACTTCCCTATACACCCCCACTTTCCTTCCCTCTATGCGTCACCCACCCCCCTGGGATTAAGATATCTTTAACACAAGGATCCCCTCGCCATTCATAAACAGGAAAAAGAGAAATGTGAGAATTGTAAGGAGAAATGTGAGAACTGCATCCGATAAAACAGTTCCTGATTTTAGAAAGAGAAAATGGAAAATATCAACTCTTCTATGTCAGCAATAACATGGCCTTTGGGGGTTCTTGGGGCAAAGCAGAAGAGCACTAGACCAGGAGTCAAAGCAGTTACCTTCTAGCACTGGGTCCGCACACACCGCTGGGCGGCTTTGCACGGGCTGTCCCGCTCTTGTCCTCTTTCCTCTTCTGTGAGAGGATGAAAGGGTATTTAAGTTCTCTTCCAGGTTTAATTTTCTAACTTTCACATAAGTTTTTCAACTAACAATGATAAAACTTGCTAACTGCATCATTATTAGTATATTTCTCTACACTTTCCGGGAAGACATGGAAAGTATTTTCCAATATTGATGAGGGAATAAAATCACTATGAGACAGAACCTGCCCATGAAGCATCAGCTCCTGGTGTGTTCTTCTGAGAGACGCCAGCACTTTGTCACTCTCTCAATCACTCACTTTCCCCTGTGACTTATTTTTTTCGGAAGCAGTTTTCCAGCTGCTTCTCACTAGAACCTTTTCTAAAGGAGGGACATATTTTCCCCACAAAAATCCAGTCAGGATTTACCGAATGACAGTTTTGGGTAAAGCATTGACAAAGTACATGTTAAAATTCAGTTTTGGGCAATGGTTTCCACCCCCTTTGCATATAATCAATGTGTGTAGTCATAAAACCACCCCAGTGCATCTTATTTTCCTTTTTTTTATTCCCAGGTCTCCATTACTTCAGGCTATAGTCCCTTCTTACCAAGTCTATCCTCACCAATTCCACATGCACAACACTACACATTTTCCTGCCTAAAATACTGCCTCCACCTTCCAATGTCAGTGTTGACTGCAGGATAAAATCTAAGGCCTTAACCCAACCCTACCTCAGCAGCCCAGCTGCCATCACTCCCTTCCCCGTCTGTGGTCCAGCCGCTGGGAAGATTCCCTGTCCGAGGCTCATCCCAGACCCTTCCCATTTTGCTCATTCTCCTCACTGACTTGGAATGTCTTCCCTCCTCTGAAGGCTGCTGGTCTTTCAAAACCCAGACAAGACCCCCCCCCCTCCCCCCCCCCAGCTTCCCCTAGAA